CTGATTTGGAGTCGCCGCCTAGGACGCTTTGTTTTTAATCCAATAAAAAGACTCAGTTCATCTCTGGATGTTCCCCTCGATGTTCTCAAATGCGACCTTCTTGACTAACATTCTGGGCAGGACGGTGTTTGAGAAGCTTTCTGACGTTAGGAGTGTGACCTAAAGTCTCCTGTATGTCCAGGCTGATTACCTTGACTGGATGATGGGTCTCCCATCTCACGGGACTTACTCCATTCCTGAACCACCAGCAGCATCTGGGTCCCCGAGACGGGCCCGGGCGAAAAGCGTTTGGAGCATTGGTACGCAGATCCACATGCAGCGGATTTACCAATTGCTTGACTCTCATGATCGGTCCCGGGACACTGATGCCAGACTAACACGCCTGTAGATTCCTAGGTTGTTATTTCCACCTTTGGTTATAGCCAGTACCAGAGTATATAGAAACAACATGGGTACCACGATCGCTAGTCTCCAGCCCAGCGGGAGCATCTGGGTTTCCACTTTTCCCGAAGAATCCACTCAATGTTGGAGATTTGGGGCAGACCGCTTTACGCGGGATACGTTGGTGAATTCCGTCGGGAACACTGTGCGGCCGTGGGTCTCAGCGCAGTCAGCTTTTGTTCATTTTTGCACCAAGTAACGTTTTTGTATGTACCTGTTTGCTCTTTTTTAGGTTTTGCCATTCGTTGCAATGGCAATGGATTTTGATGTTTTCTCTTTTTCATGCAGCCGGAAAACTATCTCCAACTCCTTCATTGCGCTGCAATATTGCACCATATTCCTGGTCAGGTCGATGGCAAAATTAGCTGATCAGAATTCATGCAGCTTATCGAAATATGTTTAGCTGAATGTGAAGAGATTGAACGCAACAGGTAAAGTACAGAGGAGTCTGAATCCTCCGCCAAACTCAGAGGACGCTGGCCGTGTCACAGAGAAGTGCACAGTACGCCGGGTGGTCGGGTCATGCAGATAAGTGCGGTACGTCGCCGCTCGGCCGGCCGGGGTGCGGCTGCTGGGCGCGGTGTGACGTCACAGCGGGGACGTCCCAGTGCAGGTCACGTGACGCCGACTGGCAGACGGCTCCGTCGGTGGCCAGTCGCCGTCCGAGCGAGCGGCGCGCCGGGTGTGCCGAACGGTGTGATAGTGAGGTGATCTCTGAGTCCCAGCAACGCTATGCGCCGCGCTCTGTACTCTGACCTATCGAACTGCAGCGTGTGCTAGAGACTCACTGAAAAATCCAGATACTCTGCTCATAGAATTGGCATCGAAACCTCCGACAAAGACTGAGACAGGGAAAAGGTGAGTCAGCGGTGTCTCCTGTTGTGGACTTGAATATGATTTCGTTTATCAGGGTACTGTGTTGGCTGCTGGACCAGTTTTCTCCGTTTATCGTCTTGTATTCGTGCAGTGGTGGAGAGACTGTGAGACGCATATTGCGTATTAGCGGTGAATCAGGGTCACTGGGCGGAGGGATCAGCGACAGAGGCCAGGCGCCCCTCTGATATCCCAGGGGCTCTGTGCAATCTTGCAGTGGAGTTTCGATAACGCTCTCGCAGGTGCGCCCGCAGCAGCAATACCCCTCGGAGGAGCGACACACCGTCCTACCTCTTCACCTCCTCTTCTGTGGAAACGGAGTGCGGGAAATACGCCATTTTTTAACCCGGAGATTCGCAACAAGTCCCTTGTTTTCTACTATTGACATCTTTTTTTATTTTCATTGTTCAACCCTGCGTCGTTGGTGTACTTACTACTTTTGTGCGCATTAGCGTAAGCGTGTCAATAATACCTTGCTTGGCTCGCACCTGCGTTGCTTGCTCTTCGACTTTATGTCATTAGTTGTAAACAAATAGCGAGTAACTATTTTCTTTGGCTGGGGGGATCCAGAGCGTCGTAAGCCTCGTCGCAGCTGCGACGTGTCGCAAGTTGTGTAGTAAGTCGTTTTTGGAGGGATCAATTGATGAGTAGCGTTACTTAAGAAGTAAAGTCTATCGCAAAGTGCCTGATTTACGACACAACTTACGAATTTGAAATAGCAGTCGTAAGTTGCGTCGGAAGTTGATATGGCCTTGAGGGAGAGGTCACAGGTCACAGGTCATTGGGGTCATGGTCATGAAATTTGCATGGTACGTGGAAAATTGTTGAAACTTGAGATCCTGAAAATTTCGTTGCAATCCGTTGCCGCTAACGCGAGTTATAAAGCAAAAACCAACGGTTCGTCTATGAGGCCTCAATCCGCGCCAGCGAGAGTGTTGAACATGGTGCATAATATGTTATATTCACATTTATTGGGGTATTCAGGGATACATAGTAGCCTAACACCATTCCAGCAACTACTGGCGAATCCAGAAAGGCGGTCTTGGACGTTGCGAGGGGCATCCCCCAAAAGATTCTCCAAATTCTAAAAACGATGTGTCCCAGATGACCCCCATGACCTCGAATCGATCTCTGTGATGACCCCAAGTTGACCTCTGTGACCTGACGTGTCCCAGATGACCTCCAATTGAGCTTTGTGATGACCCCAAGTTGACCTCTGTAACCTGACGTGTCCCAGATGACCTCCGTGACCTCCAATAGAGCTCTGTGATGACCCCAAGTTGACCTCTGTGACCTGACGTGTCCCTTGATGACCCCCATGACCTCCAATATAGCTCTGTGATGACCCCAAGTTGACCTCTGTTACCTGAAGTGTCCCAGATGACCTCCGTGACCTCCAATTGAGCTCTCTGATGACTCCAAGCTGACCTCTGTGACCTGATGTGTCCCAGATGACCTCCAATTGAGCTCTGTGATGACCCCAAGTTGACCTCTGTAGCCTGACGTGTCACAGATGACCTGCGTGATCTCCAATAGAGCTCTGTGGTGACCCCAAGTTGACCTCTGTGACCTGACGTGTCCCAGATGACCTCCAATTGAGCTCTGTGATGACCCCAAGTTGACCTCTGTAACCTGACGTGTCCCAGATGACCTCCGTGACCTCCAATTGAGCTCTGTGATGACCTCAAGTTGACCTCTGTGACCTGACGTGTCCCATATGACCTCTGTAACCTCTAAGTGACCCCTCTGATGACTCCAAGCTGACCTATCTGACCTGATGTGCCCCAGATAACCGTCATGACCTTCAATTGAGCTCTGTGATGACCCCAAGTTGACCTCTGTGACTTGACGTGTCCCAGATGACCTCCGTGATCTCCAATTGAGCTCTTTGATGACCTCAAGCTGACCTCTGTGACCTGGCGTGTCCCAGATGACCCCCAATTGAGCTCTGTGATGACCCCGAGTTGACCTCTGTAACCTGACGTGCCCCCTAGTTGCCTTCTGTGACCTGACGTGTCTCAGATTACTTCCGTGGTCTCCAATTGAGCTCTGTGATGACCCCAAGTTGACCTCCGTGACCTGAAGTGTCCCAGATGACCTCTGTAACTTCCAATTGTGACCTCAATCTCCAACTCTACTAACTCTCTGTGACCTCATACTCTCTTAACTCATTTCTTCTAAAGCATCGCTTCTAGATGCCCTATAGCGCCACGAATCTCCTGTGATCGATCCCAAAATTCATGGCAACTCACGTGAGCGTTAGCAACCACAAGTCACCCAGTTGAGACAAAGCTTCAGAATCAGAGAACATGCTTGAACTGGCTGTCTCATAAGCTCGCAAACCAGAAGGGCGAATGTTCCTTCATGCTTGATAGAGTTTTCGACCTTACTGACGCTTACTACGGGATCAGCTGATCGTGTAGCCTTTTAAATTCTCGAGTAAAGCGGGTATTTAAACCTTGTCGCAGCTACGTTCTGTCGCATCCTCCGACAAACCCCTCTTTCCTCAACATCCCTCCTTTTTCGCTACGACACAACTTGCGACGGGACATGTGTCGTAACTTGCGACGTGTCGTAGATGGACTTGCGACGCCCTGGATCCCCCCGGCCTTTAGGTTCTATCCGAGTATCTCTACCGTCGTCGTTGATCTAAAGTTCGACTCTACAGTTCTAGGATTACTGTTCAATTTGCGTGAGTACTCTAGCATCCAGTTCCGATCCCGATGCAGACTTATGTTTTATCTACAGGGTCTGTGGTTTCATATTCCCTTGGGCGTTTGTTGATCACTGCTTTACCTGCAGATATCAGCAACCAGCGTGGATGAACTTTTTCGTGCACATCGCAAAGTCTTCAACGCCTAGGGTGTCTTTTGAACGTTTTGCGAAATGCACATATGTGCATAAAACATGTGCAATGTGCATAGGTATGTCAAGGTTTCCACATTCCTTGGCGAGATTCTTCAAATCCCTGTTACCATGGAATTTCTGCTCCGAATTATACATTGATCTATATATCAGTTGATTGTAATGCAAGCATTCATGGTGTGCCTCCTTGCCGGGCCACGACTCGGTGCCGATTTTTGCATTTAATATCGATGCATCGTTTGAGCGCCTCTGCTGTCGAGGCTTGATCGCCACGCTGATGCATATAAATGTACTTATGGTCCTGCGTCTTGAACAGACAGGTGTGTCTGAACCGTGTAGTGAATTGTTGGTAGGCCGGCCGAAATGTCCTCTGCGTTTCTTACTCCTTTTTCGTATTGCATCATCAAATAGAAAAATGGTGGTGTTCACAAATCCCTTCAACAAACGAATTGACCGGCGAACTATTATCGATCTGCAGACAAGCAGCATACCCTGAGGGGGCTGAATCAAGGGCAATTGGCTCATCCTTCGGCGATGCCTTCACTGCGTAGACACTAGATGACTAGACCTTGAAGTTTTTCAGTTTATTAAATTGTTGGCGCCATGCAGAGGCTGCTGCAACTGTTTCCTGCGGTGCTGCTCATGCTGAGGCTATGAGATGGAACTCAGCTTACTGGCATGCAGGGTCTTTGCTTGCTGGCAATTTAGGCCTGATGCATCCCGTGAGTGTGATCTATATGTTGCCTAAAGGTACATTGTGACACTCTCCAGACAAGTTGTACGGTGCTGTTTGTGCTTTACCAGGAACTACCTTGTTTGAGCTGTTCACAGAACATGTTCGTTGTAAGGGGGTCAAAACATCCCATCCCCAGCACGGCCTAAGTGCCGAAATGGGTACCATCAATTTGGATGCAAATATTTTTCACCGTCACCTTCGCCTGGGATTGCTCTCTCGCTGCAATGCAACAGATGACAGCCCGTTTATTATGGTTGTACCAAGCGCCCTGTGGACATGTCTGGGACCGCGTTAAAGGCGGTGCCATCGGCGCCGGCAGGGCAGTGACGAGGCGGGCCGTCCCGACGGAGGCGCCTCGTCCCGTGGTGGGGCCGTCGAACGCCAGATCTACCCGGTACCGGCCGGAGAGCGCTCCGCTGTAGACCCCTGGACTGACCGGTGCGTGTGACCGTCACCGGGCGCTGGTGGTGTTGTGCATGTCTGTGTGTGTCTATGTCCCTTCCGTGGAACCGGCGTATCCCTCGTATCCATTGAACCCGTATCTATCGACTCCGTGTACTCCCCGAACTCTTATCTTAACCCGTTTGTCCTTTCGACCTCGAGTAGCTCCATATATTCCTCGGATCCCGACCAACTCTGGATCTCCCGGATTAGGACTGACTCCTTGTGTCTCTTCATCTGCCTCTGACTGGCACCTTGTGTCTCTCTTCCCGTTGACTGACTCCTCGCGTCTATATCTCCCTTTGACTGACTCCCTGCGACTCTGTGATTGACTCTGTTCGTCTCTCTCCGGCAGGGATGAGACTGGCGATGGCGGCGCCCGGTCGGTGGCGACCACCGGCCTGCCCGTGGCTCCTGTCGGCGCTGCTGCTGCTGCTCAGTGGCTTCACAAGAAGCGCCGCTCTCAGCTGTATGGGAGACGACTTGAACGGCATGGGCAGTAAGTACCGTCAGCCACTCTGTAGGCGCTGCGGGTGTGTGCTTCATCATGATACTACTGTCATTACCAGGACAGCTATGCCCTCGTCCGCCTAACAGACGCTAATGTTGCCTACTTCGCGACAGAAACGGCACAGGGTCCTGTTAGGTGGCAAGACGGAATTGCCGGAACAAGACGCCGATGTTTCCTGGGAAGAAACAAAATGTTCTTACGCCCTGAACAGGATGTTTTGCAAATTGGTTTAGACGCTCGTCCTGAATTTCTCAGAGGCAGGGCTCCGCTATTGATCATGCTCCAACTGTTCTGAGCATTTTCCCCGTCCTCGCTCGGCGACAAAAGCTTGTAGTTTTGTTATTTTATTAAATTAGAATATTTGGAAATAACATAAAACTACTTCAACATAACGCCCACATCAAAGGACAGAAATATCGTAACATCTGAAAATATCAAGGAACCATCCAATGATGAGCATTCCTGCGCTCCTGAGGTTGGAGCTAACGAACGTCTGTGTCCTGCCCGGTGAATGGGGCATCCGGCGCGGCGGGCTGGGCCGTCGGCGCGCATGGCCGCCGGCCGGGCTCTCTCGGTGTCAGGCGGCGGTGCGCGGCGGCAGGCAGGCGCGGGTCAATACGTGCCGACGCCGCCCACTCGCCACCACCACCGCGCAGCAGCCGCTCACCGGCGCCGCCGGTACACCAACAGCAAACGATATACCTGGGCAGCCAGTGCGAGATATAGAAACTCGTGATTTATGGTTGATTTATCCTTCTCTTGTACTCGTTTACTTGTGAATGTACGCATGCCTTATTTATGTGCTCATTGGTTATGCGAATTTTGCGGTACTGGATGATGTAAGCTTAGATCAATGTGGGATTATAGGTGACCAGCTATGGGTGTTGCTACCCCAGCGGAAATCCAAAATATGGGATAATAGGTTACTGAACTCTGATCGAAATCTGGAGGAAAAACATAGCTACTCGGCACTCGCTTCAGCCAAGTGTGAGAGGGCGGAGGCACACATTTTTTCAACTCCCGTGCGGGGAAGCATGCCTACTCGCAGCGTTTGGCGCTGTTCACACGAAGCCGCTCGTGAAATTGGTGCGATCTGGCGCTCACGCGAGCCGGCCCGTTGGTCGGCGCGGCCGGCGCCAGGACGCTGTGGCCGATCCTATCTGGGGGCCGGTCACGCGCTCCCCAGCACCATCCGCATGGAGAAGACGGCCATCTGGGAGCATGCACGACCGCGCTCCCCGGCCCCAGCGGCCGGCGGCGCCGAGGTCTCAGCCGACCCTCGCTGCGTGAATCGACTTGGCTCCTCAGAATGCTGGGCGCTCTGGCACTCGCATTGGCTGCCAATGCTGTTAACATCAGTACAGACGCGTTGAACGCGTCGGCATCGAATGATAACATCATCACTATTCCCTGGCATTCAGGGAACTGTCACACTGAGAACGAGTCTGCTATCGACTCAATCTGGATGTCGAAACATTCACTGGAAGCATATGCTCACGTCCGCCAGCCAATCCATTGATATTAGCCATCGCATGATAATTGAGAAATTCAGGATCGTATATTTGGAAGACACGAGTTTGTGGGGTCATCATTCTTCCTTCATGTGATTGTTTTATAAAATAGTTGACGTTCATTGTCCCATATAGGGCGTTGTGTTTCGACTAACTCGTGGATATGCCGTTAGACATCCGCCTAAATTTACGTCAAGATTGACAGCTCGTGCCGCATTTAAATGCACGGCATTGTCAGACATTAGTTTGGAGATTACTGGCAGGATGTGAATATTTGAACGAAAAAGGGAGAAGCTATGATACTCAATGGCTCAATGATTCGCATTGTGAAGCATACGGAACTCCATCTCCATAATCATCGTAGTCATCTCTAAGTATGATTGTCGCATTGGGTGGCCCGGAGCCGCCCGCAGCTGCCCGCTGCGTGCTGGCGGTGTCGGTCACATCTGAAGAGACGCGTGCTGTCAGGGACACCGTGTCAGCGGAGCGGGCCGCGGTGGGTCTGACCATGATTGGGAGTGACATGGGCCGCATCTGGCCCACCTCAGACGATGCGGTCAGCGCGGCGGTTGATCGGTGAATCAGTGCTCACGCCAGGATCTGGGGGGCCTCGCGCCGGCAGCCACTGACCCCGGAGCTCTCTCCCGTTCGGAGAAGCCCCACGGTGGGGCTGGTGAACCCTCGGACGCGTGTATGGCCTGCTCTGCTCGCGGCCAGTGCGGCGGCCGCCGGACCGACGGCTCTGCACGGAGCCGTGGCTGCAGCTCGCCGCAGAGCCGTCGCCCCCTTCCACCACCGGACACTAATCCTGCCGCGCTGAAGTCCCGTCGCTTCCGTGTCGCCGTTTGCGGTGACCGGCTGTCGGTGGTGACAGCGGGCGATCGTCGAACCCCGCCGGCCGGCCTTGGGCGCGACCCGGCAGGACGCGGCAGCGACCGTTTTCTGACCGGCGGCTCTGCGGTCGGAGTCGTCGTCGCAGCCGACGCCATCTTCATGTCGTGAGACACGGAATGCGGGCCTCAGCGCCTGTCCTGCAGACAGGCGCCGTGTTATCCAAACAGTTGAAGCTGAGATGGCTGGGACGTTATGTGTTTGCTCGGCGCTGTTGATGTCCATTGGCGCATTCCGACATTGCACAGGCTGGTGTCAAGTGAAATGGGGCTGCCCCCGCCCCCGTGCGGGCACCCCTAGTGCTTCAGCTGAAATACCGGATCCCTGCACTTCTGCGCTTTGGCTCGGTATAAGCAATTTGACTAACGTCATTGTGCTTGTAAGTTTGACGTGTGAGTATGGTGATGCTCAAAGGACATGTCGAAGCAGTAGGTACTTCATATAATTGTGTATTCAGAAGTCCCTGCTGAAATTCCTGCGCATATAAACTTTGCATTCTTATTAAGACGTATGGTGAGAGGTCACTGGGACTCGAAGAACCTCGCTGTTGGAAGTTGATAGGACCGAAGAGTTTCTATTTTGGACTTGTGCCTGTGGATGACTGATACGAACGACTTACAGTCATCGAGTAATTGCAATTTAGACATGCAGGCAGACCGCAGCACCAAATCCTGATGCAATATTTGACATTCAATGTACAATGAACCGTATATTGTCTGTATTAGTATGATGCACCTTTGAGTTTTTTTTTTCAGCTGGGAACCATGGTTTTTGCTCTGTCCTTTGCCGATACTCGAGGCAGCACGAGAGGCAAATCATCGAGCGCTTACCTTACATGTTTGAGAAGCAGAAACCGTTAATATCCTTTTCACTCTTAGGTGGGCTTCAACTTTGAACTTTCACGCACCTTTCGGCCACCCACCATTTTCCATTTCCATGATAATATCGCTGCAGATTATTCCTTTTATCCAGGTACTTATTTGATTCTGTTTGTTATAAAACATGCACGCAAGTGTGAACTTATCCCGGATTATGACTGGTGGAAATGGATAACGGATGTCTCTATAATGTTAAATCTGTTTGATTTAGTTATTTGAATACTAGCGTATCTGTTTTTTATGACGTTTCGCATCTAAACTCGATCTCACCTAACCAAATTCCCATAAGATGTGTTTCTCAACAAAACATATCGTGCATATCGCACGATGCTTCCGTCCGACAAAACCTGCAAAACGCATAACGGACATTTTCGTGCATTTCCTCCTTCTGTCTGGGTGCATTTCGTCATCTGGTGTGGGTCACTCCAATGTCAGCGGAAGGAAGCGTCGCGCGGCGCCCCTGGCCGGGCCGAGGGTGACCTGTTGGGACGGACGCGGTGCCGCGGTTGGTGGACGGGCTTCGTAAGCTCCCTAATCCGACCACGGACCGGAGCCGGCCGCGCTGCCGTCGACCCCTGCGCTCAAGGCCTTCCGCCCGGCGCGGCGCCGCCTCCGAACGGGTGTCATGAGCCACCCGAGCCGCCGCTGCTGGTGGTGCCGGGTCGGATCCCGCACCACACGGGCCACGGCGGCGGTGCACGCCCTTGGCCGCCGGTCCGAGCGACCCCACTCCCACCGCGCGCGTGGCTGTTGAGCACCAATAGCTAGGGTTGTTCGAAATTTCGTGCCAGAGGACATGAAATGTCTGGTGTTCAAAACCGCAACAGCGGACAGTTACTTGAAGGAGCTTATTTGTGGTTGGAGGGAATAATACGGAACGGGTTTTATTGTCATGAGACATTTTGTTCGGAAAGGTAGGAAACTTTCACTCCATTTTTAACAGGGAAACATTTTATCGGATTATTTATCTAATCTATAGCGCTGCATGACGTAGGTTGGTACAATAACATGTTAAGCCTGTGTAACTGATCTGTATTTGCTTGGGCGGGTCGACGAGTCAGGCGGCCGCTGGTAATCAACTGTCACTCGGCACCGGTAGGGTTTTCAGTCGCCATATGCGCCTCTGCGCTGGCGGGTTCTTCGGTAATCAGCTACCCCCTCCCCGTACCAGATAGCTGCATGGAAGGGTTAATGAGCGCCAGACGACGCCGCTGGCTGGTATTCGATCCTCGCCTTATGCCATGGTGAATCACCAAGGTTCACCTCTGCTGCACCGACAGTTAGTTTGGCCGGAATTCTACCAGTATGATTTCCTTGGGTGCCATGTTTTGCTCGAATTCTGGATGTGCCTTCGTGTGGCGCGTTGTTTTCGATGCGTCATGCGGCCGTGGCTCCTGAAGTGGCGGTACATTGCCAGTCATGAGGCAGCGGGTGTGCTGGCGGCGGGGTGCGGGCCGGTCACCGCCACCGTCTCGGCCGGTCACCGCCACCGTCTCGGCAGCGGCGGGTGGGGCCGACCCTCCGGTCAGCCACCGACCCCAATCGCGGCCCGATGCAGCGCTGAGCACCGGTAAATCAGCCGGCCGACGCCACTTACCCGGCTCTCCGACCATCAGTTTATTAGTGTTCCTCGAAACTCTCTGACGGGAATCCGGACCCGGTAGAATTTATTTTCATACGCCTCGTACGTGCAGTAACCATAAATTCCAGTGATAGTCGCCTGCACAGTTTCATTAAATCACCTTTTCACAGAGTTAATCGCGTATAATAACAGAGGGAATGGCGTCCATGGAGGCCGGCGTGCCTGCATTGTTAGTCAGTGACTGGACCGGCCGGTGGAGGGAGGCAGGGCACAGTGCACCCGGCGAAACGTGCACGGTGCACACACCGGTGTCCTGTCGGGCTGCCCCCGCTTCTTGGCAGAGCGGGCCGTCCTCAGTACCGGCATGTGGTCCGACGCGACCCCGCCCGACGGCCGGTCAATACAGGCGCCCGGCGACCGACCGACACCCGGGGCCGGGGCAGGCCATGGCCGCGGCCACAGGCATTGATCGGGCCGGCCGGCCGGCTGACTGGCCGAGCGGGTGGGCAGCGGCTGTCGTCTCCGACGGCAGCGCCCGAGCTGCGCGGACTGGCATTCCCAGCACCACTGGCCACAGCTGGAGCGTGAGCGCTCACCAGCCGTCAGACGGTATTCTTATTTGCTAATGAGACTCGCAAATGTATGAATTTCGTGCAAGCGTGGTCCTATTGTCATGGGTGAGTTGCACCGGTCAAATTAGACCCAGTTTCTGGAATGGTTCAATGAATGAATGGCGGCTTTTGTTGTAAGTGTGAATGTGTGGGCACGAGTTGTGAGTTGTCTGACCAGACGAGCAGACGTTCGGACCTGTTGAACGTGCTTCCGTCAGCCGGACGCCGCGGTAGCTGGCTGTCTGCTGAGTGTGCCGTTCTAGAGGCACTCGCTCGATCTGCGGCGGAAGTCTAGTGGGCACCAGCTAGCCACTCGCAGCCCGGTGTGTGTACTCAGTGGGCGGAGGATGCCTGGCCGTCCGCGGCGCGGCCGAGTCCCGCGCCGGCCGCGCCGCCCGGGCAGGTGTCGGCCGTGTGTGAGGCGGACGGTTTCCGCCTCCGCGCGCGGCCGGCTCAGCCGCGGCTGGCGGCGGCGGCTGCCCGCTCCGCTGACCCGGCCCGGCTCACCGCACGTCAGCCGCGCCGCCGGCACTCTCATTTAATTGCAATTTATGGCCGGATAAATTTGGTGCGGCTGGGGTGCGCAGGAGTCGGCGTCGGCGCTGCACCGCCGTCCGATCGGGTCGAGGTCATGCGGATCGCTGCAGAGGCCGGCAGAAGGCGCCGGAGGAGAGCCGACGAGAGGCTCGGCCGGGCGGGACGCTGCTGCGCCGTGTAGGTACTACACCCTTCTGCGCCGCCCGGCGCTCACCCCCGGCCACTGACCCCAACTGTCCGATCAGTCATCTCAACCGGCGGGATTTTATTGGACTATTCGGCAACGGGCGTTGAAACGCAGCTTTCGAATCGTACGTATTGGACATTAAAATGCACAATCGGCTTTAACGTTGCGCAGTATTTAATCTAATCTGTTAGGACTTAAGCCTATCTGAGGAATTGAAGAGAAGCGAAACGCCTGGGCATCACATGCCCGAAGTCTACTGCGTGTCCATTGCTGTATTCAGACAGTGCCAGTTGAAATGGAACCATTGTGAGACACTGGTCTGCAGTATACTCATCAGTCTGACTCGGGCGATGCTGCGCTCCGTCTTGTGCAAGATAGCATGGCGTGGGGCCCGCTCCAGCTCCACGCTCCGCCCACAGACGGGACAGGACGTTGGGGTGCAGTCGTGGGGTCACTCCGGATATGCGATACGGACACCGGCTGTACTGCTGACCGCGGCGCCAGGTCGGCGGACCGCGGAGGCGCAGAGATAGCGCCCCGACGTCCGGTGGCCGGCCCCCGTATCCTGCCTGGAGCGCCGGTGCCGTGGGGTGACAGGCCGGGGGCCAGAATGGCCGCGGTACCGGGCACGGACGGCTGGGTAGCACGTGGGTGGGGCGAAGCTCTCAAAGGCAGCACCGACTGCACAGTGGTGAAACGGACCTATGGAATTGCTCTGTAGGTCCCGGTCCTTGACTCGCTCAAAGACCAAACATTATCAGGAAAAGTCATGCAGCTGTACGAAATGTTTGCTCTGTATTGTGGTGTCATTCTACATTATACATATTGCATTGCGATTGTTGGCATTTACGAGAACTGTATGGCATGCGTTCCACCCAGCTGCGCGCGTTCAATCCTCATGCCAAGTCCTCCCACGTATCTGTCAATTTTCCGTAGGGCGTCGACTGCGAGAAGACGGTGCGAACTGTTTTGCATGACAATTCAATAAATGTTTGCCCAGCATCGATGCACTGCTGAATGCCAACTCGCATTGGTATAAGCAGAAATAGAATAGCTGATGCCCCGTAAAACGGCGATATGCGCAGAAGGTATACGTGCTTCGATTTCCCATTCCGGTCAGCGGTTTGCACTCAACCATCGAACCATTCATCGCTGGAACATGTCAGGAAACTTGAGCGGTCACAAGGGAACAAGCTGTATGGATCGAGAACCCCATTGTCACGCTCACGATAGTCCTCGTGTAAAGGGAGTTGCAGACATGAGGTTACCTTGTTTTGGCTCTGAATTGGCCGCACTTACGGAGCTCACATTTTTGCTTGCCTGTTTGCGTGTTGCTCGTAAAATTGGCCCGATTCCTAGCGGGTTCGCGGAGAATCGTGAGCGGCCAGGGTTTATTGGTAGCCCGGAGCGGCTGGGTCGTGTAGCCGGGGACCGATCGCCACAGCTGATATTGACGGTGACTGACCCGTGTTTTCGAACGCGAACATTGTTTAGCTTTTGATGTTCAATGAACGCATGTAGAGTCTCAAGTCAACAATTGTAAGACAGTCTGAGCCAGTGTTGTGCATCTATCGGGTATCACCCAATGCTGGCGGGGTTTCGCCCGCCTGAAGCCGGTTCCCTGCGGACAGTGCTGTTTTGTCCGCCGTGCTGCGTTGTCCGCCCCGTTCCACCTTGCTTTGTTTGTGCCGGAGCCGTCCCCGTTTCACGTTCAGCCCGGCCTGCGACGCGGCACTGCACCGCAGCCGGTCCGAGCGGTGCCATGTTTTCCCGGTTGTACGCTGCACCGACCTTACATTGATGGATATGCACGAGACTGCAACTTCAAGCTGTGCCGGCCGCACGTTTATAGATATACACGACGTTGCAACTTCACAATACGTCAGTCTGGGAAGTTTCAAACGTTTATTTTTTATTGCAGATTGTCACATAAATTTCCGTGAGGAATACATTTCGAATAGTTTCGAAACAGGACCTCTGGACGCTGCAACGCAGGATTGAGTTTGTGACGGGACGGGGAGGGTGCTGTTACCTGTCTCAGCAATACAGATCGACACAGTCAATATGGGGAGCTTTGGGCCGGGCTAGGAGATAACACATTCTGAAGGAGGCCTGTCCTTTTGAGTGCGCCCACCGCCTCGGGCATTGTTAGTGATATGCTGGGAAATTAACACCGCTAATTTACGGTGACTACTGCCTATGTTGCAAAAGATTTGGTGCAACAAAAGGTTGACATCCAAATATGGCAAATCCGCAAAGTTTTCTCATTTATGAATAAAGTTGAGTTCTATTAGCCCTGTTTCCACGATGAGCTTAAATTTAATTCGCCCTAAATCTATGAGGAAATCCGGTTCATTTGTTGTGCTTGCATGTCCGATAAGAGTATAAATACTATGCAACCTTTGTTGCTTTTTGTAATAGCACAAATAACCTGAATAGCCCTCCAAATAAGGTGGCTTTTTTACATTTTTCTCATCAAATTTTCGGTCGCATCCTGAAAGTCGCACTTAATCTTCCTAATCACTGTTCAAAAATGTATTTGTGCTCTGATGATGCCGCTATGCGAATTGTCGCCTAATTTTCATTGGTCTTTTTTCATAAGAGCATTATACGATGGAAGGATGTAATAAGCCTTAATGATAAACTCACGTCCCTTGATGTCTAAATTCTTTATAGAGTGTTATGGCATGCACAGAAAAATTGCACAATTAGCACCGCTGGTTCGCAAGAAATGTTGATTCCCCCGTAGCGGTTCCATGACGGGCGCGCTGTTGACAAGCGGCGACTGAGGCTCCGCTGGCCGGTCGTCGCAGCACCACGGTCTCTGTCTAGGTCGACCCCCTGGTGCCGTCGTCTGCCCGCGGCCCTATCAGGCTCTGTTGGGCCTCAGATAGCCCGTGTTGTCAGTCGCGAACAATCGTTTCACCCAACTTATCTCGCTATCACACTTGCCCCTGCCTCTCCACATGCTCGTTGTCGCGTGCTTTGGCAACTGAGAACGGGGCTGAGCGGCGTTCTGCCATTGAATTGAGTCGGCAGTGGCCTGCAGCCATATTGCGATTTGTTCAGGCGATTACAGCCATTGGTCATGTGGCCGTCGCAGCTTTACTAGCATTGATTGAACTCGTGATTTGAGTAGGCAGGTCCAGAACATTCAACGAACCGAACGTATACACAAAGGCTCGCCATAAAAGCGCCGAATCCGTGGTTGCAGAAAGGTTCCTTGCTTGTTTTCATATTGAAAGTTGAGTAGGGTTTTATGCTTTTGTTAACTGCAGTTAAATTTACCGTGTGCGATTGAAAAAGTTGATACTATCTTATTCGTTCTCGGAAATTATGGGATACTCGTTACGAATTACTTTGTCATCTTATCTTCCCCTTCAGCCTTCCTCTACAACCGTGACCATTGGATATCTCCATGCCGTCATTCCATGACATTTCGTTAACCATACCCTTTTTCTCTCCTCCGCAGCGACATATCCTAGCCAGGATATCAACGTGCGGCCCAACACGGAGTTCAGTATTACCTGCCAGATCGACCCGGCCCACCCGAAGGTGGCCGGCTACACGGCCAACGATCTCTACTTCACGCGCTCCGAGGAGCTGGCCGTCGGCGGCTTCCGACGGACGGAGGTGGCCGCAGATAACTATGAGGTGAGTTCGGGTCAGAGGAGAAGGGGAGATAGGCTGTTTGAACTTTGGGTGCTGATGGCGCCGGAGGCTTTGTCTCCAGTGTCAGGCGGCGAACCGCTAACACTGGAAACCTGCCTATGTTTGGGTGTTTCGGTGGGACTGGTGATCTGGTACGGGTGTTACTCCTATCGTTGTCACAGCCCGGATTTAAAGTGTCAGACGGTGAGCCTCTGGTGGTGTTTGGGTTGGGGACGTGGTACGGGTGTCACTACCGACGGTGTCATAGTCCGGGTCTGAAGTATCGGACGCTGAGCCTGAATCATTGGGGTTGAGAAGTACGGATACCATTACCGACGTCATCACAGTACGGGTCCCCAATGATAGACGGCGGCAAGGTGTCGGCTTGTTCGGCTCACAGTCTCAAATGACTGCGTCGCCATCTTGTTAGATGATACAGTATATGCGGTGGGGTTGAAATGAAACGACGCGCACGGGCGGCCATTTTTCTTTATTTTTGCACTTATGGGCTTGCTTAATATCACCAGTCCTTTTGTTTTCCTGATTGATATCCTTCTATATTCGTCGAATAAGCTGTAGGTGAGTTATTTATAATCGTTATTCTAAAACACCGAGTACCGCGGGGCCGACACTGACGCCTGTATTTGTCGCCAGGTGTTGAACAGTACCATGCTGCGGCTGACGGACCGGCTCGAGAGAAGAGCCCGCTACTCGTACGCGTGCCGACTGCGTCACAAGACCACTCCCACCATGGGCATCTGCACAAACAACGTCAACATCGGCGGTGAGCTGGAAACTGAGACTGCTCCGGGACGGACATCGTCCCTTCCAGTCCACTTGCTGCTTTTCGTTTCGCCGGCAGGCTTGACTGAAGTGGAGCTGACGTTTGTGCACACACTGCACAATGATTCTGTTTTCATGGGCTCTTATGAACTTTGATCCGGTTTAACAAATTTTAGTCGTGTAGTTTTCTTTGATCTGCTTATTACATGCAAAACTTTGAAGTGGATTAGCTTTTCATTATCTCTTTCCTGTACTTATATTTTCACATCATATCCGGTTATCTAATCCTCATTTACTGATACGGATCAAAAGTATCCATGGAAACGGGGCCAGTGACGTAACGTTTTGTGTCCTTCGTTGTCACGTGCGTCATGCGTATCATTTTTCGCCGGGGTGAACCTCAAAGTGAACCGTCCGAAGTGATAATTCTGCGTGGCGTTAGCAACTGTTGCATAAAGCGACGAAATTAGACGTTCAAGCACCAACGTACATTTATTACATTGCTCATTGCTAAATATTGCCATTAATCGAAGTCATGAATGTGGAATCCAAGTAGGAAATGAACAGTGAAGGACATCGCCAAAGGAAAAGTTGATCATCGTGTGACCAATGTAACCCTGTACTGAACGGTGACTGAGTGACGTCGGGCTCCAGCCTTTTGTGACACCCGTGACCCCATCATCAGATCGGGCGGAGCTGCGCCCATCACTGTGTCTCACGCTACCCCGTGCCTTTTTCACAGACCCTCCGCTGCCTGTGGAGGGATTCCGGTGCGTCTCACAAAACTGGCAGGCGGTCAACTGCACCTGGCGGGAGCCGTTCAACGCAATCCGCACTCGTTACGAGCCCGAGTACCGCACGATGACGCGTATCGCCCGGTACAGGTGAGTTCTATCTGCCGTCCGGCGGGCGGGCGGGCGCTGCCGGCGCGCCCGGGGCCGGAGCGGAGCCGCCAGTGGCCGGCTGCACCAGCGACCGTCATTACCTGCCGTATAACTTGACACGGCCGCCGTAAATAACGGAGCCGGCTGGAGGGCGGGGGCGGTGCTGTGCGCCTGCTCTCTGACCGGCCGGCCCGCCGGTGCACCGGCCGGCGCCCCGGGCCGCCAGCCTTGAGCTGCCACCATCCGTCACGCGGTGGCCGCCGGCCGGCCGGCCCGGCCCGGCCCGGGTCGGGCCGCCGTGACGCCGGCATGGTTGCACGCCCTGCACGTTTGTTTAAAGCCGCGCGGCTGGCGGCGCCGCCGGCTCGCGGGCCTCGCTGCGACTCCATCTCGGCCGTGGGGAGGGCAGGGTTGGCCACACATGTGCTACACGGCTCGGCCGATCGCCGCGTGGGGCGACTAGTGTATGACCCGTGAAGTGCCGCGGAAGGACACGGGCATCAGGGAGGCAGGCCCTGCAGCCAGCCGGCGCTGGGAGGTTTGCGTTGCTGTCTTGAGCAGATACGGCTGCTGGGGTTCCTTACCACGGCGTTCTCAGCGCTCGTCAGCCGTGGTTGTCGGAATTCACGAGCAATTCGGGGTAGGGGAAGTAACTATTCCAATGAATACATTTTTGTTGGTCTATTGCTCCTCTGACGTCTTCATTAGCTTACAACTGTAGATTGACTAGGATCGCCATTTCGCTTCAGGACTTGCATGATTTACATTTTTGCAGCATGCTGTTATAGAATGTGTAGAAAATGTTTGAAGATCAACTGTCTTTCATGCAGGTCTCCTAAACTTTAATTGGCTCTGTTCTGAATGCTGCTGCTTTTGTATTGATCAATATGATTAGCATGTTAAGTCTCTTACGTTCATCAGTACAATTGTAATCTTTTATCGTCAATAATTTTTAACCAACATGAGAATTATCAGCAACTCGACCCCATCAACCAGTTGCAATTAGTCGAGTCCTGACCTTCGATGTTTTTTCGTTGCCCTCCGCTGTGCTGGTGTTCCTCGGTCCTTCTGAGAACTCGGGGCAAGTGACCGTTGCCGGTACCAACCCGTCCAGCCCCCTCGACTCGACCGACCTCTGGGGAGGGGAGTGATTGACCCGGCCGGGAGACGGCGCCGGGACGGTGCTGTGCACCAGTGGCGACCCGCCTCCCATCCCCCTCCAGACCTCGGGGAGTGTCGCGCTGTAGCGGCAGGACAGGTTTTGCATGGGACATTTTTAGGGATTATATGTGACCGGTCGTCAGCAGTTGAGGCTTTACTCAGCATTGTTATTGAGCTGTGGTCAGACACGTCATCAAACACCAGTTAGGTCTCCGAGGATCTCAGAGCTGTATCTCAGGTTGCATCGGCATCTTTGTGTTGGCTGCATTTTTATTGAGTTGCACTTCCAGTGTCCCCAATGGAATGCCCACCCCTCTGGGAATTTGGTAAGTGTCTTCCTGGTGCTTACGTCACTGCCCAATGGTGTGTTCCGGGTCATTTGGCCTAACGTTTCGTGGCACCAACCCGGATCCTTCCGTGGCGCAAGGTGTAGGTAGGCACATTAACTGCTCCTTAACCAGATATAGCTGGGTCCTTTAGTGACACAAAGCCTGATTCTTGTGTGACACAAAGGCTGCACTTTTAGCCGACTATGAACGTAATCCTATCTTGCCTCAAAGCCTGTTAAGGAAGAACCCTGGAACGACTTTGAAGGGGATGGATTCAAGACTGTGTTGGCATCGCCGTTTCGAAAGTCACATCTACAGCGATCTTATATATTTGAAGTGATAACAGTGATCAGGATACTTTGCTTTGGGGTTTTCTCAATTTTACCTTGCTTCACCTTTTTCGACTCAGTCTTCGATTTTCCGTTACAATTTTCGTGAATGGTTTTCTTTGAATTTTCGACGGGAGGTTTGCACAATACAAGCGGGACATTATATAACATATATTTATCCTGGTGAAATTGAAAAGAATGAAACTTTTCCATTTGTTGCCTGTCGGATGCAATCACGCAGTAATGACTCAATGCTCATGCTTCATTAGGCGATGATTGTCAGCTGGATTAAACTCCAAACGTTCAAGGATGTTCTACGAAGGTCGGCCGAGATACGCCATCTGTTCTCTACGCCCTTGTGCCTGCCCTTCCTTAAAGGACCGGGCCGAGACACCAGGGGCGGATCCAGCCGATCCGTTTGGGGAGGGCAAAACTTTCCGACCTATACGGTGACCCCGACCCACCGCCGTACCGGTGACCAAGCGACTTTACAACGCCACACTACACCAGCATGCATTCAGTTGAAGGGAATAGTTCACTTTCACGAAATTAGTTTTTTTTTTTGCAATGGATTTATGATTTATGATTTTTACGCTAAAGAAAGATCAGCAAAGTAAATAAAACCTTTATACAAAAAGATATTATTTTCTATATTTTAATATAAGAATAATTCTTCAGTTTTAAAGGGGTGCAAAAGAGAGAATGGCCCCTGCAAGACACACATTCCTCAGCAAGGCACTTTTTCGGGACGAGAAATGGAATATCTTTGCCTAGGGTGATCGTTGGGCCGTAAAAGCTCCTGATTTGTGCTTGTGTCAGCTCAAGCTAAGGAACTGTTATTCCAGTTCAAAACCCTATATTAAAAGTGAGCTATTTCCTTTGAGGGAGTCCCATCTTTTATCAGCATACCGATCCACATCATCATTAGCGAGCGGTCAGCTCATTTCTTCAGAATGACTGTCACGGAAAGTTCTGCTTTTCGTCCAGATAGGCATCGACACCGTATAAGATTTTCTCATCTTTGGGAGGGGCAAAAACATAGTCTTGCCCACACAAATTAGCTTTGGGGAGGGCAAATGCCCATTTTGCCCTCCCCTGGATCCGCCACTGCGAGACACCCCGTGACGGAGTTCTAGACCGCTCTGGGACACAGCACCGAACCCTTTCGTGACGGGAAGCGGGGCCTTTCCATGGGTAAGCCTCGGCACCGAGATCGCCAGCAACGTCTGAACGCCGGATTTTCCCAGTAAGATGCCATCTCTGGCCGCCACGTATAAAAGTTACACCCATCATCAGATCTGTGGAAAATAATCCATGAACTGCTCGATGCAAATCCAGCCTGAGCTCATTTCAGGGCATTGCTGCCTCAACTCCTTAGCCGGTTCTCCGTCAGAAGTTGAAGCTTATTCGGGTTAGGTCTCGACATCCTCCTTAATGGCTGGAATGTCTCCCGATTTACCATCCGCTTTGGACTTGATTCATTCGGCTGGGCCTTTTGGCCCTAATCCACCTTAGCCCATCCTGTTTGTTGCATTTGCAGTATGTTCCAACCTGTTCATCGTTGCTATGTCTCTCTGCTGTCATTGGAGCATAGCTGGGATGCGCCGGCTACATGACAGAGGCTGCGCGATCTCTGCTACTCTGGCCTCTGTTCGGAGCGGCGCTGCGGCTGGCCACTTCTACCCAGGATCGGTAGACGTGCTGTGGGGCAATAGGCCGGCTCAATGGGCCAGCAGGCGGCGTCCCGGCGGCGCCTGTCGATCCGCTGACGGCCGGCTGCGCGGCGCGCACCACCGGCGCGGCGCGGTACCTGCAGCTCCGTATTGATCGCGCGGGCATCCAGCAGGCGGCGGCGGCAGCGGCGGCGACGGGGTCAGGGCCGCCGCGCGCCGCCTGCCGTCCGCCTCTGACCCGCCGCGGACAAACAGAGGTGACTGGCGATCCACCCGCGTCAGAAGGTGACGCCATTCCCAGTCAACCGCGCAGAGCAAAGCTTATCTCGGCGATCGTGTCAGTCTCTCCTCATTGTTCTCTTGTGGACAGAAGGACGTCTCCCTTATACAGCGAAACCCTTCGAGGACTTCGATATGTATGCAGCCTTCTCTATTCCTGGTGACATATATTACCAAGTCATGAGTTTGCGGCACTGCGCGACTTTTAAGGCTGACAGTCGGAGCTGGCCGCGCCCGGCGCTGTGCGGAGAGCCCGCTGGGGACGGGGCTGGGGTGCCGCCGGTCGCCCGGTGCAGTGGGCCAATGCTGTGTGCTATACGGCTTGGTCCAGCCGGCGGGGTCCGGATAGACCTTACTGGCCGGCCAGCGGTATCTCAATCCACCAAGCATGTAGCGGATGGAGAGCTGGCAAAGTATTATTATGATCGTGTGAGGATGAAGTCTACAAAGCCGTTTTCGAGACTATTGAGGCGTGGTTCCTGTATGTGAGTGACTTAAAAAGACACTTAGGATTGTTTATTTTAAGAGGCATTTTGTATTTATTATTACCAGATTTCTCGTAATCTCGTGCCTCGTTTCTTGTTGGATGTCTGTTTGACTGTTGTTCTGTCCGTGTCTCACAGAAAGCCGTGCAACAGCACCGCGATCCGGCGGCCGCTGCGGCCTGGTCAGACTCGCACCGTCTCCTGTCTCGTCAGCGAGAACAACTTCCGCTTCTCGCACGAGACGTTCCGCATGGTGATGAACGCCTACAACGAGCTCGGCAACGCCAGCAGCGACTTCGTCCTGAGCACCTACGAGATCGGTGAGTACGGAGCTGTTCGATCCAGGTGCCCCGTGTCGCCGGGCTGCGGCACCTGTGTCTGTCTGCTGACCGCCGGCCCTCGATCATTGAGTGACAGGTGGGCAGCCGGCCGCCGAGCGACTCCACACCGCACCGGCAGACACTATGGAAAGCGCCATTGAACTGCTGTGTCATCTTGACCGGTTGCTGGAAGCGCTTCATTCTGACATGTGCACTGGGCGTCTGCTGTATAAGCACTGGGCAGGGTGGCACTGCTTCATATGCGTGATGAGACGATAACCCTCGCCGGCACCGGTCATTTTACCATCCGCGATGGGACAAGGGCGGTTACTGTCGGCCTCTTGTTTGAACCTTGTTACGGAGATGGAGCTTCGGAGTAACAGCGGGTGTGCTGTTCTCAATGAGGGGAAGCCAACGGTACTCGATTTTAAGGCCTCATGGAGACAGGTGACCTCTGGGGCTCGGGTTAAACACATGTGGCTCTCCTGATCATAGATACATAAAGTACACGAGGCTGCCATATTGAAATTGACCACAAGGCATACCGAAATGTCAAACATTCCGAGATACCTGAAATCTGACCACAGGTTGAGGTCAGCCGAATCTCCATATGCCTCTAATAATAAAAACCTGGATTGCATCTGGGACACTCATTGGAGGGTTGAATGTCATCGCTGATCCGCGCAATGATACAGGCTCTGCAAGACGATCATTGCTGAATTAAAAAGATCAGGCGTTGTTGCGGTACTGAGCTCAGCCGATGCTGCTTTTGCTGACGATTAATCGCTTGACCATATGCAGTCAGCATCTGCGTCGGTCTCTCGGACATCAGCGGCTGCGAGCCGTACCGATATGATATGACGTCTGTCAGACCTCTGACTGCGGTCCCATGCACACCTCTGACTGCTGTCGACTGCAGTTGGTGCCCACTGCCCGAGTCCGACAGCCGACGGTCGGCCGGTCGGACGGCGGCTGTTTGCGTTGGCCGGCGCCCGATTCGTGAGCGAATCTCAGAAGCGCTGCAGTTCCGAATTTGCCGACTCACCGCACTGAGTGGGAAAGGGGCCTTCAGTGAGGTCTGGAGAACCCGCATGTGGAAGGCAAAGGGAGCACAGCAGCCAGGCGTTGGAGTGCAGTGGCGTCCTTTGGACGGTGCCAGGGACGCAGGCCATATTAGGTTCCGGTGCGCCGGCGCCGCGGGAGGCCGCGTGCCGCCCTGAGTGGTGTTCGGTGTCTCGACCAGGGGCGGCGGTGTAGCAGATGGGTGGACCGACCCATCGGTCTCCGAGCGGGGAGAGGGGAGCTCAACCCACCTCGCATAAAGGTGATGACTTCTGAGCAGATGACTTTGTAGGCTCACCTATGCTATGAGCTCCAGGTACACTTTGCAGTGCAGAGCAAAAGAGCCAGCATGTCTCTAAGCACACAGACATTGTGTCCAAGCAAACGTGTACCGTGGCGTCCAGTACACAGGTCTCAGGAACATGTTTGAAGTGGCACTGTTGCCTAAATCGTCAAAGACATTAAGTTTACGTACCGGATCCGGGTACTTTTCTCCTGAGCATGGTTACGTTATTAACGGTGTGGGCGTGAAACTGTTCAGAAAGCCGTTCAAACTTCATCAAATTCCTTGTTCCGCCGTTGTGATTGAAGGTGGGTTGATGTCCCTGGGATCGGTCCGACTCCCGGCGCTGGTTACAGGGCTCGTCCGCCGACACTGTTCGCGGGTCAGGCCAGGAATTCCCGTCCGACTGAGGGGAGCAGGGGGGCAGGGGGCGTTCTATGAAGGCAGCGCCGGCCGCCGCTGTGCCCACTCAGACTCCTGGGAGCTCTATTTCGGTCGGGCAGCCTCATGTGTACCGCGAACAAGGTGACAGCTTGCGAGGGGAATAGAGGTCGTGCTTTTGGGCCATCTCAATGTCTGCTATACAGCCGACGTTTCATGCTTTTTGTTGTTCGTATTCGCTCTTCGCCTTGAATGTCCCTTTCAGGTACCGGACCTATTCCTCTAATTGTTTTGCGGTACATGAAGCATGAAGGAGCTTATCAGTTCCAGTGCCGGACTAACTCCTTATTCTCGTTACATTCCGCGTTTTTGAGCTGTATTGAATACGGCTTATTTCTGTCGCGGCCTGTGTTCCTGCGATCGTGCATGCAAATGTGAGGAGCTGGTTTCACACGAACATAAAACACCGCCAGTGCGGCCGGTGCTTTCATATCAAACACTGATATCACTCAGACGGGCTGAAAGTGGAGCTGAAACGAAAGAAGCGTAAAACATCAAAATGTGATGACTAAACGTCACCACGTATCCAGTTCTCTACCGTAGGTACCGCTGCCGCCGTCGCCTCCGCCGCAGGCGGCTGCGGCCGGCGACGGTGGCGCCATGTCGTGCAGCGGCCGGCCGGCGAACCAGCCGAGATGCGGTGTCCGTTCTGGGAAGTGTTGTGCCGACTCGGCGCCGCCGCGCGCCGGCCGCCGACGCCGACGACGACGGCGCATGGCCAGCGGCGTCCGTCGCCCCCCCCCCCCATCCCACCGGACCGCGGGGGGCGGGTGGGGGTCAGAACGGGGGCTCGCTGCGCGCGATGGCCGCCCGTGACGTCACGCCGAGCTGACGTCACAGTCGGCGCGAGCTGACGTCGACCAACATCCTGAGAAGAGTTCGGATGGACGGATGGAGGTAAACAGCAGCCAAATGGCAGCTTACGAAGGCATTTCAATGTATGATGAACTGGAAATCGTTCATAAATCGTACTTACGCTCCATGGGTCTCAATTTCCACTTTTTTCATTTCGAAATGCCAAACGCAGGGTATGGCTATGCTTTGACGTCTGGATGATGCAATCAGCAATCTTGGGATGTTTTTACTTCTCTTTGGAGCCATTTTTCCAACCTTTCTTTACTAAGGTGAACTTTTTCTGAGATCGTTATTAGGCATTATGCATTGTGGTGAATAGGATCCAGCCAGTCCACTCCAGTTGTATCTTGCAACCTATGTATATTTCAAGACAGTCTAAGCATTTTCTATCCAATGCGTCCGATGCAGTGTCTCTGGCTGCAGTGTGTCCGAACGCCACTGTAGTACCGTGTGTATCGTCCGCGCGCTGTGGTGTCAAACCGGCGTGCCAGGCCAACACCCCGCGGACCGTGTCTCGGCTCTGCCCGGGCTGGTGGAGCCATACCTCTGCAGGGGCACGTGCCAATGTCAACAGGGCACCGCGGCCGAGGCGGAGCGGGCCGGCCGGTCGGGCCCGCGGCCCGCGGCGCCCGCGATTTGGGTGTGACGCGTGTCCGGAGGCGGCCCTCGTAAAATCTGCAGCGGTGCTCCGGCAGTGCCATTAGCCCGCTGAACGTGGTTATTAGAGTTGACGCGGCCAACTAGCGGAATAGTGGGCATTGCTGGCGTACCGGCCACTGGTGCGCGCTCAGCCAGCACAGTTAGCCGGACACAGGCCATTGATTTTAGCGTGCAGTGACCGTGAGTCATTCAACAACTCGGCCAGTTGTGGACTATGGTTAGCGGATGTGGGTGCAGAATATGGCGGACTTCATTCATCAGAGCGCACTGCGGCACGTGGAGTCGCTCCATGGCTGACTGACTGACTGATTGACTGAGTGCGGCGCATTCTCCGGGCTCGGTGGCAGGCCGTCGAGTTATGGGCGGCCGTGGGTGCGCCGGCGGGGTCAGAATGGCCACTGGAGCTTATTGCTGTGCTGTCGCGACGCTAATGTAGCTACGATCGAGTTGCGGGTCACCCGGCCCGGGCCGACGAGCTCCCAAGTGTAAACAATGTGTGTTGCGGTTGAGCTGGCAGCCAATGGGAGGCCGGGTGATGTGGTACAGGCACTCGAGGGGCGGGGCGACAATCAGTCAGCAGTTTCACATTCTACCGCCAGGGTGCAAGATTGTTTGTCACCCCTGTGTTTACAGCGATGAAGAGATTCGGCTCCTGATGATCTCATTCGAATTGTTGATCATCATGCTGTGGTTTGTTGCGTAGTTAATCCAGTTGATTTAGATATGCTTGTCTTTAATGATTCTGCTCATCATGGACGATGCGTTTCTAGTTGATCGAGGTCGTAATCGCTTTATCAATTTTTTTTTGTACCTTTGAGTCGACATGTCGAGCTCCTTTTTTAATAAGGATGTTTTCACCTTCCGATCAGGCGACTGGTTGAGATTCCAATAATTTTGAAATATTATTTTCTGTATCGAACAGGATTCAGGCCGATTATGATGGCCGACGGCGTCACTGAGACACAAATGTCAGCTCGTCGCGCTGTCACCAGTGTCACCCAGCTGTCACCCCCCGTGACGCTACATGCCTGGGGCGCCAGCGAGCGGCTCCCATTGGCAGCCGAGGCGCCCGGTTTACACCGGGAGACCGGCGGCCGGGCTGGCGGCGGCCTTCCCGGCTGGTCTATTTCCAGCGGCGGTTAAACGCCCGCCGAGAGACGTCGCCGGCTGACGTCACGCCGCCGCTGGCATGACGCGCTGCCCCCCTCACCCCACCGGGGCTGCCCCCGGGCTCTGTTCCCTCTGCGACACCCTCCGGAGCTGCGGGCTGCTGTGGGATACTCCTGGCCCACACCGGTGTGCGTGCGGTGGAGCTGCAGGGGTTGCGGCCCGCCGCGGCGGCGCCGCTGCAGCCGCGGCCTTCCTGACGGTACTGCGGCGGTGACCGGGCGGGCGACCGAGCCAAGATGGCCGCCGCGCCTGCCCGCCTGACGCGCCGGGTCAATATCGTTGCGCCGTGCCGCCGAGAGCGCTCGGCGCCGGCGTGCACTCTGCACAGACATTCACAAAACGGGCGGCCGGGCCGCGACGGCTACTGATGACTGATTATGTGCAGTTGGCACGGACGTAACGTCGCCATTCATAGTGAACCGTTTGGCATTTTGTCTAGGTGATACGTGAGATCTGCTTCGTTTGGTAAACTGCAGTCCTGAGTAACAACTGATGCGCGAGACTAAACCGCCAGAAGTCAGGGCAGTGTGGTCGTTGATTTACAAGCACTTTTTTAAATTGTGTTCTTGACTCTTCAACCTATACATTCTTATGAGATTCCTGGTCAAGACTAGGCACTAGTTAGTTTGGATCTGATACAATGTCTGCAATGCCTACCATACGATCTACGACACCTGTAGTACGGCTGTGGCACCTGCCTTGTGACCTGCTGCACGGCCCCCGACATCAACCGTTCTCGGAGGGGGCGGGGGCACTGTTGGCCCATGGCCGCGACCCGGGCGGCCCCGTGAAGCGTCTGAAACCGGTCCCGGTCGGGCCGAGCTCGGCCGGCTCCTGCTTGAGTCATCAGTTCGCGCTAGTGGTCCGGCTCGGCTCTGCTCGGCGCTGGCGACTCGGCGCTGCGCGGCGCGCGCGCACACACTGGCTGCCGCCGCCGGCCCGTTTCGCTGAACGCCGGCTGCGGCGGTCGTTCGGCGAACGCTACTCTGGCGAGCTGCGCACGCGCGCGCAAGGCCGGCGCCAGCAGAGGCCACCTGGTGGACGATAGAGCGACTGTGCGCCCGAGAGCCGCCGCATCGGCCGCTGCATCTGCGCCGGCGTGAGCGGGTCAGCAGAAACATCTCCTGTGGGGCGCCGATGGGATTTAATGCGTTGTTGAAGAGGCATTAATGCGCCGGGGGTTATTTCAATGCACTGGAGAGCCGATGGAGCTGATGGCGCCGCTTTCACTGACCGGACCGTCGTCACAAATGACATCATGCCATGTCGCGGGCCGGAGGGACAAGCCGCGCACGCCAGCCGGGACACGGGCGGTGCTGGTGCGTGGGTCGCGTGCCGGCGGACTGTTGACTCGGGCTGTTGGGGTAGTGCGGGGGCTGGCGCCGGACCGGGGGCTGACAGAGGGCTGACCGGGGCGTACCGCGCACGGCGCACGGCTCAGAGCGCGGCTCACAGGCCGCCGGATCAGGGGCGGCCGAACCGGTCCGGCGGATCACGTCATGCGGTCCGGCGCACACCGCCGCCGCCGCCGCCGCACCACTTTCCTGGTCGGCCGCCACAGGTGTGTTTGTGTGCTGTGCTGGCTGGTAGAGCTGGCGGCGAGTAATGCCACCAGCCGGACCGGAGCCGTAAACCGGGGGTGGGCTCAGCCGGCCGGCACCGAAATACCGGACGGGTAGATGATGATCGGTCCGCTGATTCCGGAGATACGCTTCTGACGTCTGACGTCTGTTGACTGTCGATCGCCCCTAAAAATCACGTGTTCACAGCTGGCGGGAGGTTAAGCAGGGCTGCTCTTGTTTCATTAGGTCATTGAGTACTAACTGTACCTTTTGTCTTTTCAGTGCGCCCGGCGCCTCCCGTCCGCGTATGGGGCACCAACCTAACCACCAGCTCTGTGCGGCTGCGGGCCGAGATCGGACACCCGATGGCCAGCTTTCCGAGGCCGATCGACTTCTCCGTCGAGTACACCTCTCGCTGGAACCAGACGCCTCAGGTGAGCGATGGGCACGGACTCCTGGACTGCTGGTCCGTCTGTCGGCGTAGCAGGGTTCACCGTCCAAGAATGACTTGGGCTGGGAAAGGGATGGAGTTTTATAGCGAAGAGTGACTTTCAGAATAGTCCATGCTATTAAGCTCTTTCTTTTTAAGTTGCCTAATCATTCTTGTCCTCATTCTTGTTTACTCTTGCCATGCTTTTCGCCGTTTCGCCTGTGTTTTTATCCTTCTTATTTGCGTTTCTTGATGTGTTTTCTTTTTCTTGTCACTGTTTCTTCAGTCCTTGTTTATTCTGGCTCCCACTCGCTTCACCACACCTTGGCTCTCGTCATCAGAACCTCCCCTGCCCTTTTTACCACCTTCACAGCCGGTGGACGCGTCGGCCATGCAGTTCATGCACAACTCGAAGCACACCAAGGGCCGGAACACGACCAACGACACACTTGTGTCCGGCCTCCTGCCCAACACAGACTACCGGTTCGCGGTACGCATGCGGAGCAGTATGGCGGACGTGGTGACTTACCCAGACCTCTGGTCGCCGCCGCTGGAGACCGTGCTGCGCACTCAGGCCACCGGTGAGAGACTGGGAGGACGTACGGGTGGACAGGGACTTTACCTCATGCTTATGGATCGGGGCGAGGGTCATGCGCACGACGATTTATGTGAATCGTGGTGAGGATCGCCTTCATGGTAATGCAAGTGGAATGTTTTGAAACAATACAGCCTATAGGTTACCATTTTTGCATTATTTTTACATAAATCCCAGGGTGCTATACTAATGATAAAAATATATGACTATTGCAACGTTTGCCCATCGCTGACTGCTCCTTCCCTCCGCCGCTCTGCAGTGCCGGCCGCCTCTCCGCGCACCACGCTGGGCTCGTTCGACCTAGTGGGCCGCGCCACGTCCCGCACCGTCTACGTCTACTGGCAACAGATCGAGGCACAGCAGCAGAACGGTCCCCAGTTCCGCTACTGTGCCGTCCGGCTGCGGCCGGGCCGCGCCGCCGCCTCTCCCGACAACACGACGAACGCGTACGCGCTGTTCCGCGACCTGGACCTGGGCCGGCACGAATTCAGCATCGCGGCGTGCAACTCGGAGGGCAAGTCGGCCGAGCCGGCCACCCTGGTGGTACCCGAACAGGAGGACGGTGAGTTTCGGGGATACCCTGCTTGTGCTGTTACCTCACGATGGGACGGGGTTTCCGGTTGTCTGTGACAGTCGGTGTATCACGATGGAGTGCAGGTACTCGGGTCAGTTGGTCGTGACAAACCATTTGCTTTGAAAACTCAAAAACAAAACGGTAAACCTTTTCTTAACTTACAGTCCTATCAAATTTTCAAAGACTTTCTTTGAAAAATGCGGTCGTTTCTGACACTGTGCTTTATCGATACTGCGTTTCACAGCTATTATGTCCGTTGGTATGTATCCCGTCGACCGAATGGCCGGCAAGTTGTGTCCCTCCGTCAACCCGCCGTCACAATCTGACCCTCTATGTTGTGCGTTCTGCAGTGCTGCCGCGTCCCCACCCGGTCACCCTTGTGGCGGAGGCGCCCGGCAGCTACACACTGGCCTGGGAACAGAAGGCAGACACACCCGTCGATAACTACACCCTGTTCTGGTGTCAACACATGCGCGACAGGCCCTTCCAGTGCGAGGTGAGACCACGATGGGCATTGACTGTGGCGTGTTTTGGTTTTACCACCACCGTTTTCCAACCCTTTACGTACCTATGTATATAGAACATGTTCTATTTTGCCACTTAATGACGCTTGGTTAGGATTCTTGCACACATGGATATCCTGATAGGAATGATAATGAATTATTTATTGTGGATTGTGGCTTGTGGATTTTCGGTCATTTGTCCTCGGCAACGGACAAAATTCGTCTGTATTTGTTGATGAGGTAGTTGTTCACGGTCAAAGTGTAACGTGAAAGGTATGTTTTGTTCCTTTTCTGTTGTGGTATTATGATCTAATGCGCAGTTAGGGAATATACCGTCTAAGCCAAGTGCTTTTGTACAGAAAAGTGCACCATGAGCTCCAGTTTCGAAACGTTAATCTTTTCCTGGGTCTAAATTTGTTGTGTTTGTATGTAGTTTTGTTGGCGCTCAAAATACGGTTGACGTAGTGTCGAGGGAGTGGTAAAGAACGTCATTGCGGGTCCCTTCATGTGCAGACTTTGCTGTGTCAGCCGATTGTACTTCTGTCATGCGCAGTGGCAGGCTGTTGTCCTGTTATATGTGTAATTGTGCTATGCTATGATGTGACATCCGGCGCGTATGTGATATATCTGCAGTGCCGGCTGATATTCTATGCGATACACTATGCTGTGCTGTGACTGACATCTCCCATCTTCCCTCCCAGGGCCAGCTGAACTGGACGGTGGTGGACGGCTCTCTGCGGAACCACTCGCTGCGCCTGCCGGCCACCGCCGAGTACCAGTTCGCCGTGGCGGCCAACCGCGGCGCCGCCAGCAGCGGCATGGTCTGGTCGCGCTGCGTGCTGCTCGCCAGTGGAGGTGAGAAAACGCCCGAGACGCAGAGAGGCGCCAGACATGCAGACATGTGTCATCGGCATCAATCTTTGACACTGAACAGCATGGGCTGGCTATGAGACACGCTGTTTTCTGATTATGTTCTCGGTTCTTGGTGTGCTCATTCCCTATTCAGCAGCCCCTTTGTCTCTGGTTGTTCTCATACATGCTTCCGCCTACTGGGTGCTTGGAAATTGAAGTTATTTATGTATGCCGTTAGCGGCTGTGATATCGCCTAAACGACTACGAACAATGAACTGTTTCGGGAATCATTCTCTTCATAAGGAATGTAAGGGCAGCGTTCGGTAACCAACTCTGCCCCTGCCCTGTGTCCTCAGAGCGCACTCAGCAACTGGACAGTGTATCGGTACAGAGTCGCGGCGCCACCGAGATGACCCTGACCTGGCCCGACTACTGTCCTAGTCTGGCCATGGACGGAGTCTCCTACAAGGTCTACTACTGCGCCTCTTACGAGGGCCAGTGTCTGCCTGGTGAGTTGAGAGTGCACGGAGACGACCGGTGGCAGGTCTTGAAGGAGGGTTTCAGCTCAAGGCTGAGGTGCATGGCTGCTGTGGTGCGCCTGATTTTGAATGCGTTCAATTTCTGTTGCCCGTCGTCTGAGCTGTTGGTGTTCGGGTTTCATGTTGTCCGTAATGTGTGTCGCTGCGCTGTATGTCCCTCCTCTGACCGGCTCTCTCCCGTGTTTGTGCCCAGGCGCGGCCGGCGAGGAGCAGTCGGTGGTGCATCCGGCCGGCGAGCGGCGCTCCACGGTCCGCGTGCCCGGCCTGGCGCCCTACACCGAGTACCGACTGCAGGTGGCAGTACTCTCCGGCGCTGTGGAGGGACAGAGGAGCCACCCGCCCGTGGTGGACCGAACACTGTCGGCCCGGCCCGAGCCGCCCACAATCACACAGGTCAGTGAGGTGTCACGCGGTTGTCGCCCCTGGTGTAACGTGTAATACGAGGATCAGTACATGTTATAAACACGATCTACCTTGTAGATGTAACCAAACACGGTGTACTAGTGCTGCTGTATAATTTCGACTGTGTTGCGCCTCTACCCCAGCTAGTGTCCTTTAGCGGATCACTGACCGTCCCCCTCTCGTCTCTTCACTCAGGTATCAGCGCTCAACTCTAGCGCCGTGCACGTATCGTGGGCGGCCCCGGCCCGGCCCAACGGCCAGCTCACCCAGTACCAGCTGAAGCAGATCGAACCTGCCGGCGGCGACACCGTCTCCCTGCCGGCCAGCACCAAGGCGCACACGGTGGTCGGCCTCCAGCCGTACCGGCGCTACACGTTCCGACTGACCGTCTGCAACAAGGCCGACTGCTCGGCGTGGTCGGCGGCCGTGTCGGGCCGCACGCTGGCCGGCCGGCCGGGCCACATGGAGCCGCCGCGCACCCAGCTGCTGAACGCGTCGGCCGTGCGCGTCAGCTGGCGGCCGCCCACCGTGCCCGGAGGCCCGCGGCCCGTCTACACACTGCGCACTGTGTCAGAGCGGCGCGGAGTGAACACGACCACCGACCAGACGCTGCTCTACTCGGCCACAGACGGTCAGTGCCATCCCCGACCGATAAAAGGTGTTTGCTTTCTGTCCATTTTTGAACTGAAGAATTACTTTCTAAGTTTTGCCTGAATCTTTGTATAACAATGACCAGACATGTGCTTGGATCCGAGAGCTGGATCTATGATCTCAGTGGATCTCTCGACAAAATAGAGGGGTTGGATCTATGATCCGAGTGGATCTCTCGACAAAATTCAGGGGTTGGATCTATGATCTGAATGGGTCTCTCGACAAAATTTAAGGGTCGGATCTATGATCTCTGTGGATCCAGCGGGCAAAAATTTGTGGAGGACCTATGATCTGTATGGATCTCACGACAACATGTAGCCAATGAAACCCTTATCCTACATAATTGTACGCCTTACAGTGCAATACAATTGAGAATTATCACTTGTGGACATGGTTATTGGTTAAGACCACTTGTGATCATTAGGTATCATCATTAAATTTGAATTTAAATAAACAACATTTGTACTACATTTAAAATAAACCAAGTACATGCATATTGCTACTTTTTGTGACCAATTGTAACTTTTTCATGACAGCACTGATGACAGTCTTATCAACAAGCTACAGCCACTTTAATTCAAAGAACAAACAGTACAGACAGATGCAGTGGCAGCAGGGCACTGCAGATTTTCATTTTGGTCCCATTCTTCCTGCAACGCCAGTAGGGCTAATGCTAAAATGCCAAAATCTATGGGGGGCACTGTACCCTGGTGCCACCCCCCCCCCCCTCCCCTGTTCTGCCGCCTATGGACAGATGTTAGGAAATCAAACCTGGAAGCCAAATAGGTCAGTTTTGTTAAAAATAATCCAGCATTCCACTTCTGCCAGGTATGAAATCCCAATCCAGAATGTTCATATGAGCTATTAGTATGTGCAACACAATTTCGATTTAGTAAGAATAGCAACCAACCTCTAATACTTTCCTAATAAAATTACAAGCTCAAAAATGGCATCAACTTCTTCAGATTACCTACTTTTGGCCACTTTTGGCATCGTGCCACACGTGTGGTGCCATGCTGTGCTTTTGTTATGAGAGAGCCTTCCAAAAAAAGACAAACGAAATTCGCAGCTCACGTTTTGGTAATATGGTTTTATTACGTCATTATCGTTAAACCAATGAAAAATCTTAATTTGACCAAGCCCGTAATGATTCCAAAAGATTCCCCGTAATAGGCCCTTTTAACTAATGACGTAAGATATTGTTATTTTTTTGAAAAATGAATAAAATAAAGATGCAAGGCGCACACCGCTCAGGGCCATATAATACCGTTTCAGCTTACGTTTACGTCATTAAATTCAACGCTACAAAGATGATATTCACAAACGTATCGTAAAATTATGTGAGGCAGAAAAAATGAACATTCTTTTAAAAAAAGCTCCAGACTTTTGAACTTCCAGTTTGATTTTTTATTTATTTCATTATACTCGAAGGTAGAACGCCTAGCTCATTTGTTATTTGAAATGACGTCACGAGTTCAATTTAGATACTGAATATTCATTTTACGGTAAATATCCAAGGCCATTACAATTGATATTTCGCTTCCCATCGCTTCCGCAGGCTGTTGAATATTTTTATACTTTTGTTTATATCTCAGTTTATTTTATCAAATATTTCTTTCAATAGATTGAAATACCTTTACCTAACCAAGCCACATGTGTCAGTATCATCTTTTATTGTTTATCAATCAAATGTGGTAGCTGGAAACTTGAAAGCCTCATGGTTGTCTAATGCAAGATCAATGAGATTGTCTTATCAATATCATTATGTAGATTCTAACATGAATTGTGATGTGGTAGGTACCTAGTTATGTATTGTTCATTAGTCATTACTTTGACTTACCTCTATGTTAATTGTTAATGCAAACTTTTCTGTTGGTATGTGAACTGTGAACAATCTTCATGTCACTCAATTCTCTTAAGTTGTGACCATCATGACTCATGAGCCTCCTTTATTTTGTATTCTGTATAATGTAACTGGATGCCTTTACTAAATATGGTCTTTGTATAAGATTGTTTGTTTCTAACCATACTTTGGTATTCATAACTTCTTATGAAAGAAAGTTGTTAACATTTTGAGCACCTATGAGCTATGATCCCAATGGATCTCACGACAAAATTGGGGAGCCAGATCTATGATCCGAGTGGATCTAGCGACAAAATTTAAGGGTCAGATCTATGATCCCAGTAGATCTCTCGACAAAATTGAGGGGTTGGATCTATGATCTGAATGGATCTCGGATCGGGATCCATGGGATCGGATCTCAGATCCATTTTTCCGGATCCAAGCACATGTCTGACAATGACATTTTTATGCAAGTGTTCAATGTTCATCAAACTTCACATCTGACTGAGCCTCCCATCTCCCCGCAGGCGGTCGCCTGGTGGCCGAGCTGGCCGTGCCCGAGTGCGAGCCCGGCTCCAGTCAGCGCCACCTGTTCGCCATCCGGGCGTCGGTGACGGTGTCGCCCGCCGGCCGGCTGGACGGCCCCTGGTCGCCGCTGACTGAGCAGCAGTGTGTGCTCGTCTCCGACTGGCCCACAGCCACCATTGTCGGCGTGGTGGTGGGCGGGGCGCTGCTCATGATGTTTGTCGTGCTGCTCTTCTTCCTGCTGTGCCACCGCACCAAGCGGAAGCTGAGCGAGATGCGGAACCTGGGTGTGAACATGCCGGCTGGTCTGGACCGGCCGGAGAAGGCGCACGGCTTCCCGGGCGGCCCGGACAGCGGCTACGGCCGGCTGGTGAGCCAGAGCAGTGGCACCACGGACAGGACGGCCGCCTCCGTCTCCGGTCAGCCGGTGAGTGGCGGGATACGGAGTGTAGAGCCTGACAGGATGGGAGGGTGAGAGATAGAGCCTGACGGGATGGGACAGAGTGGAACGAGTGCACGGAGGGGCTGACATGGGGGCAAGGAGGCGGCAAAATTATCGTAATGCTGGTCAGAATATGATTGAGTTCTTAGTAGCTGTGTGGCTGGATTATATACCAACATATCTGTCCCGGCCTGTGGTAATGTGTCCGTCTCCCCGGTTCTAGTGGTACCCATGTTTCCGAGTCTCCGGTTCCCATGTACCCGTATGACCTTCAGTGTCCGTGTTTGTTCCTGTGTGACTGACCCGGTGCGACCGTTCCAGCTGCTTCAGGAGGACCTGACTCGCGAGGAGTGTGACGGTGAGGGTAGCGAGCTCACCCCGGCCGTCAACACGGACAGCAACAGCTGCTCGTCGAGCGCCACCAACTACACTGACTCGGGCGCCGAGTGTGACAAGGTACGGACGACGCAGGGGGCCGTGGGTGGGGCGCAGGGGAAGCGGAGGCGTGGTGATGTTACCAATGCATGACTGTCGTGGATGTTATCGTCGGTAGAAGTTATGTCGAGGTAATATGTCATCAAATGCTCGCTGACAGGTGTTTCAGGTAGTTGGTTGCAGCTTTAATAGATGTCGATAAAATTGTCCTTGGTCTGACTGCGTTATTTGTTCGTCAGGTGGCCTCGTCACCGACCTACAGCAAGTTCCGCTGGCCGGTGCCGGCGGCGCCTCCCAAGCCGCAGCTGGCGCCGTACGTGCAGGCGGCCGGGCCGGAGCTGCCGGGCGCTGCGGCCGCGGCTGGCTCGGCGCCGCCCTACACCAAGTTCTCGCCGTACGTCGACGCCAAGGCTATCCAGGCGCTGGTGGCGCGCGGCAGGAGCATGGAGTCGCTGCCGGCCGGCGAGCCGAGCGGCGACCTGTCGCGCTCCGAGCCGGACCTGAGCGGCGCGGCCGCCGGCCCGCCGCCGCCCTACTCCCAGATCGGCCACCGCTCCAGTACCGGCTACGTCAGCATGCCCCCCGAGGACGGCCTGCCGGCGGCGGCGCGGCTCGGCAGCCCGCCGCCGGCTGCCGGCTGCGCCAAACCGTGCCCAGCCGCCGCCGACAAATCGGCCGAGCGGAACGCGTACGTGGCGCTGGGTCCGCCGCCGCAGCCGTCCTCGGTGACCGGCTTCCCGCCGTACGTGCTGGCCGGACCGCCGCCGGGCGAGGCGCCGCCGGCGGTGGGCGGCTGCAGTCCGGCGCACGCCGCCGCCGCCGCCGCCGCTGCCAGCATGTCGGTACCGACGGGCACTGCCGGCGCGCCGCCCACCTGGGCCAGCGCGCGCCTGGCGGACGGCGCGCCCGAGGTGAGCTCCGGCTACGTGCAGCACGACAAGATGCACCCGCAGATGGAGCTGCATGAGCTGGCCGCCGGCGCCGCCACGGCCGAGAGCCTGGCCGCCACCGAGCCGGTGCTGTCGCCGAAAAAACTGCCCACCGTGGCCACCGCGCGCGACCCCTACTGTCGTGTAGTGACGTCGCACCAGGGCGCGCCCGACCTGGGTCCCAACGTGTCGATGGTGTGAGCGGCCGGCGCCGCCGGCGCGCCGCGCACAGACCAGTACAAAGCGCGCGGCGCCGCTCGCCGCCAAATCAGGGTGTGCTGTCGGAGGGCAGACGGCGACGCACTGCGCGCCAACCGCCCCACATTGTGATATGTCCTGTATTTGCTTGTTGTTACCGATATGGCTCGTGCGCGTGCCGGCTGGCTAGCTTCGTTACTGTTCTATGCAGCTGTCGGCCGCACCAGTGTCGGGCCCGCTGCGCTGTACATAGTCACACCGCGCGCGCGTGTGTGTATGTGTATGTATGTGTGTGTGTGGAGAGTGGCTGCGGACGGGCGAGTGTGCGCCGCGCAGACACTCCCCAGTACGGGTTCCCGCCAATGAGAGATGACGAGAGCTGAGAAATTATATGATGTTGGCGATAGAGCTGTGCGCGCTGTAGGCGGGACGCGGGCTCTATTTTTGCTACTGGCGGAGCGCGCAGAGAGTGGGTGGACGGACGGGCCGCGCGGCCCACAAGGACCGACGTCTCTAGTCGTCTCTGGGTGTTGTGATCGCCCGCTGTGCTGTCGGGCCGCGCCGCGCCGCGCCGCCTCGCACCGTCACTGTGCGCGCCACCAGGCGCCTAACGCTGGGGCGCTCGCTGTCGATACGATTAACGCTACTCAATGGTTCCCAATAAATACCCATTTTGGGCGGGCGTACGCCAAGCGCGTGAGAGAAACGGCAGAACACAGTTACTGAATGAGTAACAAGGTTACCTTCAAGGCAAACAACACCGGACGGAAACACCGATTTACTCTCATTGCACAAGAACATCGTACGTTGATATGAAATCCTCGGAGCGGCGAGGATGCGATGGGCCAGTCGCGGGTAATCTACACGTTAAGTCTGTCTGCAAGTCTGCTTAAAATGTGACTCCATCTTGATAACAATCGAATGCTCATTACCTACGCCACGATTTATATTTCAGCAAATGATCTGAATGGTGTAGAGGACATAACACATTTCCTTACCGTCTACTCCTCGTGGAAACTCGACATGAGCCAGACTGTGAGTGCAATTATAAATTACGTAACCCGAAAGCCCCGAGGACACATGATGCCCTTTTATGATTCTAGCAAACCACTCGATGCAACGTTGTTATGTTACCTGATCAGAAATTATACAGGCATTGCCGGAAACGATGCGGCCGCGTCGATCGGTCATTGATCGGATCGCTCGCAGCGCGGGCTGCCCCGTAATGCGCCACTGGGGTCGTTCCAGCGACCCTGGCACAGCTGAGGTCCCGGGTCCATGGCGCGGGGAGTATTGGTCTAGAACTGGGCCCCAGAGACTGGGAAACGAGATTCCATCCGACGGGCACGGCTGGCATTGGCACTTTATTAAAGGCAATTAAACAAATGAAGCATTCTTGCGCGGCGGGAACAAAGGAGATGATTTCACCCATAACGTTTCGGCTCCGCTTCTACAGAAGAAACTAAACAGGCGACCGAACATCTCAGAGGAGACGTATAATGTGCTAAGTGCTAAGGTTGCATGGTTGCCCTATAGGATAATTATTTTCTTTTGTGCGAACTGCGAATGTATACATACCGGTCGCACGCCAGACAAATCGTAGGTTGAGGTATAGCTCCTCCGGTGTAAAATTGGCTCGCTCTGCGCAAGGGTGTCGCAGCGATAGCAGTGCTCGCGCAATAACATACGACAATAACTAGTCTACAAAGAACCGACCCGGAACTGAGGGCTTTCAGGAAAACATTCCAAGAGAAAAAATGCCTTCAAAGGGTGTTGCACCTCGTGCAGTCATTCCAGAACTAAAAGCGCTTCTCGGGTGTACGTTGACGAAATGCGACATTGCGACATATAAACGGATAAACAGCCTGAAACTGCTGCCAGCAACGCATTAGGAGTCGTTATTTAGCGGGTGAAAATGCTACAACATAATCGGTCACCAGCCTCACAAGTTTCGAGTGTTAGCTGCAGGATTACTGTTGTCTATTCGTGGTAAAGTTATCCTTCGTCTGGCTTACACCCTGAAGATTTGACACCATAATTAAAAGATGTCCTTGTAGGTTTATCGCATTTCCTTACATGCCTTGTCTGCCGGAACACTTCTCTCGACCTTTTTATCTTTAGGCAAGTTGAGACCGATTATTGGCAATATCAAAGTAAAAATGGACAGCAGCAATCCAAAGAAGCGAGAGATCGGCAAACCAGTCTCAGATGGAACCATCGCAGTGCCTGTGTGTCATCGTGGGATGAGTTAACGTTCGAAAGCCCCGAATCGCCGCTAACGACGTTCATCATCCGATCTCGTCCGCTGCCCGACAGTCTACCACTCGACCACTGCACACAAACACTCGTGTATCCGAGTAATGAGCATGTTTATTCGAGGCATCCGGGCGACCGTCTACATTGGCCAGAGCAGCGCCAGAAAACCACCCACACCACGCATCACTGAGCGGGCGGGCCACCAGCCCGTCCGCGCGCGGCGCCGACCTCTCGGCACCCCCCGAGAGACCACACGTTCGCCCCACACAGCCGCAGCCAGCCCTCGCGGCACACAGTCCACCCGCGCCATGGATACCCCGAGCGTAGCCGTCCGACCGGCCGCACACTGCGCCCACACAACGAGCACCCCTAGCTGCCCGCACACGGCGGCAATCACACCGCTACAATCATCACACATTGCGCACAATCATCGGCGAAAGAACAGCCGCAATCAGTCCAACAGCGGAGAGATATGTTGAAACCACATCATCAAAATAGTGAACATACACCAATAAGCCAGTCCACCGTACGAAAGTAGATCCAAGATATGAAAGTACCGTATGTAAGATTCACTAACCAGCGTCACAACACAGGCCCGGCGAGTGGCGCCAGGGGGAAGAGATTCGGGCAGTGCGCGACCTCACACCTCTGTGCCCATCCAGGATACGATCTGCAGTTTGACCTTATTGCGTGCCTGCTTCAGGAGGCTGACTGCCTCGGCGTGCCGGACTCCCTCCAGCGTGTGGCCGTCCACCGCCAGTAGACGGTCACCGCAGCGCAGCCTCCCCTCCACGGCGGCCGGGGAGTTCTGGACGACAAACAGCACGTGGATGGGGTCCCGCGTGCCGCCGTCACAGCCGCCGACAATACTGAAGCCGAGGGAGCCAGTGGCGCTGCGCGAGAGATCTATACCGCGCGGGTAGCACAGGCACCTGGAGCACACAAATAACACGGTCAGGAGCGCACAGAACACACACAGTGGTCCAGTCGGAGCCACTCTGGAGAGTAAACAGAGGAGACGACAGTGGACAACGGTAGAAACAGAGCAAACATTGGTCGAATGGCCATTGGCCAGCGACAGCGAACAAACGAACCAAACTCCCTCCCATAGTAAACACGGGACACCACACGACGTCCCACACAGTGAGGGAACGTCGGACCACTAAGGCACGTCCCACGCGGTGCAAGTCTATGCAACACGTCCCGGCAATCTCACCTGGGCAGCGTCTGCCAATAGGTCCAGCTGGGGATGAATTTGGCCGGCCCCCGCGACGTCTCGGGCCCCTCGAGCACGCTGAGCGTCACGCCGGGCAGTTCGGCGGTGGATTTGAGCGCGGCCACCGCCTGCGCGTGCGTCAGACCGACCAGACTGCGACCGTTCACCGACAGCAGGATGTCGCCCTTCTGTAGGGTGCACAGGGTGGAGTGGGGCGTCAGAGCGGCCCGCAGCGGAGAGCACCACAGGGGGAGATACAGGGACAAACGCAGTGCATTGAAAAACGGCGCCAAACTTACCTACCATGGATCGACGGAGCCTAACGGCAGTCGTGCCTACCTACTAAAATACCTACTATAACACGCTGCAAATTCAGGGCGCTTCGCAGATCTAATCATAGAATATCCAGCGAGAGACTAGCGTCTGGGGCCGGGGTTTCACAATCCCGCAGAATCTTGATGGGCTGACATTTACAGCCATTACGGACTTCGTGCCGGTTTATAACAAGGGGCGCGAGCACGAGCGCGCGCCATGAGAGCTGCAGCACACGTATTTGGCAAAAAGATGACATCGCCCGACATACTGGAACTGATATGGATGCGCCGTGAATGCAAATAACTGAACATCAGATAAACTCATAGCAATCTTCAATTTAGTTCGTATTCCTTTCACGCAGCTCCCTTGTGACGAATTCAACAATGGACTTGGAATTGGTCTCTGATTTCGGGAAACTGTCAGAATGACGGATGTCTTCAATCTATTCAAATGTACGCTGACGAATGTTTCCAATTTATCCAAGAGCAAGATTATTGATCCGAACGAGCTAATTAGGCGTGCGACTTGTAAGTCAGATGAAACTGCCGTCTTATTGCATGAATTCACACCATGGTGGCAGCATGTTTAGCGTTTATACAGCTTAAGCAATGCAGTAAATAAATTTATGTGGCGATAGTGTACACGCCAAGCAACATAAAGGCTTCTCACGACAGGCCGACAATGAAAACAACTGTAAGTTCAAGTAATCAAACACAAGAATGAGGCTGACATGAAATTCTACAGAGTGGTAGAGCGGAAGTTATTGTCTCGTCCTTCAGATCCTCGCACATTGCACACCAGTTCCCAAGGAGAACTTACACTAAGCTCGGAGTGCGCAGTCGGGCACACAAGCCATACAAGCGAGTAGGGGCATTCATACTAACTTTAACAATCTGAGGTCATTTGTCTCAAGCTCAGCTTACCGAGTGTTGAGTCCTATATCTATCACCAACCCAACATGTCAACATGCCAAACATGTGGCTGAATAGTGAATAAAGCACTTCTCAACTTGATTGCAATTTAGATTTAGTTCCCAGGTTCGGCACTCAACCGGCAAACAATAGATTAAGTATCTAACTAAACCTGAAGCATCCCAAAACAACACAGCCCACATGCAAATCAACAACTCAGCAAAGCCTAGAGCACTGACAAATATACCTACCAATAAAAGAAACAGACCACATCGTGGTGATGCATAAATGCGGCCTCAAATCCGACCCATAAAATCCCTCACGTTCTATTCCTCATTGTTTCGCTCCTGCCGATTTGCCCGCTACTAACCTTTATCTGTTTTGATTTGCCGACCGGTCCCTGGTGGTTGATATTGGCGATGTAGATGGGCGTATCGCCCTCAATGCAGTGGATGCCGCCGCCGATCCGCAGGCCCAGGCTCTCCTTGGCCACCTGAAAGGAGAGATGAAAGAGAGGGGGAGCGTGAAGAGAGGTGAACGAAGAGGGTTTTGATTGCCACAGGCTTTCCGCTTTATCCGGTTTCACTGGTAAAGCGGGAACCCTGACCAGTCTGAAGCTTTCAAAATATGAAAATATGAAAATAAACATTTCAAGTTGTGAAATGAAGACTGAAAGAAAGAACGAAAAGACGGGAACTGCCTCAGCTGCTTTCTGCACACAACTCCCAACTATATTTTGCAGAAAAGATACTGGCAATAACCGAAATACGACACCACGGAATCGCTGGTACCGAAACAAAATAGTTATGTGCGACATAGATAAAACAAATCTCGAATTTAAAAGAAACACACGAACAACATCTGGGCATCTGATCACGGCTGACATTCCATTTAGTACTTAACCGGCTGCACTCGGTCCAACCGGTCTCGGCGCGTCCCCCGGCGTCCCGACCGAACCCACCGCACAATTTCCGGCCATGAATACTGA